ATTATAATCCGTAATTATGTCCCCACTGGATGCAACAAATGCCTCGTTTGTAATGGGTTTTCATGTTTTTGAATCGTCGCTCTGGCCGGACAGGGCATCACAGTATGGTAAGGGACGTAACATTTCTGTCACACGCTTGAGGTATTCGGCCAATCACAACGCACTGGATAGCTGGCCAATCAGAGCACACCTCGCTTTTCAGACTGATGAGCTTTTTAAAAATCGATGCGTTTCAGAAAGGCGGGGCATAGAGGAGAAACAATAATGTACAGTATGTGGAAAAGAATGTGTTTTTCGAAATGTAAACCGCATAAACACATTTCATTACACCAAATACACAAAATAATGTTATTTTTATCAACATCATATGACCCCTTTAAGATCCGCTCGGACCGATTCAGCCCGATTCGTTCAGACCGATTCAACTGATTCATCCAAAAGATTCGATTCAAAGGAACGATTGGTTCACGAATTGAACATCGTTTTTACACTTGCGTTAACGGCCTCTGTGCTGGTTGGATTGCAGTAGGAGAGTGGATAGAGGGAGAGAGGATAGAGAGAGATGAAAATCACTGGCCGGCCACACGACAGACGCGCCACGCATGAAGAACTTTTACGGCCGAGGCGACATTGAAGGGCTGTCATATCTTGGGTGGTTAAGGAGAGCGCCCATGGTGTTGTTTAGAGAGCTAACGTTACCTACAAAATTTCTCCCGTGTTTTCCACTAAGTGAAGGTGGTGAAAACTACCCGCCGCCATTTTTGGAAGTGACTGACTGGGAGTGGAGAGTTAACATTAGCTGTAAACTGGCCACAGCTGATTTAGTTTATATTCCCTGTGAGTCATCACCTTCAACACTGTCAGCCCGGACGGGCTGGATACTGTAAATACACCGACTCTTCTTCTCCACTATACGAGCTGTCGAATGTACAAAGGAATAAACAAGAAGTGATTTTGTTTACACATTTCTCCTGAATTCTCACTAACGTTAACTGGTGTAGGCTAAGTTAGCCACATTAGCACGCTGAGGTTTTCTCTTGGAGTCCGCTCAAACTTGGCCTGGTGGACGGGTGAGTTCAACTAAGTTACACCCTCAAACGAGCCTTTTATCTGTTCTTGTCAGGACCTTACCGATGTCTCGTAGCGGTTGTGTCATTATTTTGTCGTCGTATGAAGTTAGCTAACAGTCCATTAACTGCTGAGCTAATATGTGGCTAAGGTGGGTTTGGTCTAACGTTACAACTTTTGGCACTGTTTAATCGTGTGTAACAGACAAACTACACACTTTAAACGTTTATTCTTTCTCGAATAGCTGGTGTCACTAATGTTTGACAGTTTTGCTGCTTGGTAGGTATGCATAGTTTTGTTTGTGCCAGCATGCAGGATTGACAAACTTGGTTTAGGGTGATGTTGGTTTATATTGGTAAAATTGCTTTGACATTCATGAGTGTCGAATGGACTGCGAGTGTTTATCTAACTAGCCAAATGTATACATTTAGTAAAGTTGTTCCCTGCTTTGAAGGATTGAGATGAGGGAAATCATTGTGATTTTGTTTCTGAATTGTACTTATAAATTGAATTATTCTTAATTTGTCAGTAAAAATATAATCTAACCACATTGCTTTTACGACAATGTCCAGTGTCTCATATTATTGCAATGACACTCCCTCCCAGTTTCAAAAGCAGGCTTTGATAACTAAACAAAAACAAGCATTTTAGGGCCTGGTAGTGTCCTTCCTCATTATATAAATTAACTATCCACAGCTCTGTTATGACAAGTAATCAGTTGATTAAAGCCCTGGTTTATCGAGCTGGGTATTCCCTTGTGAGCTGCATTCAGTGACGCGCGCCGCATTCCTCATTTCAGTGTTGACATTGCGTAACACACACTGGACTGGCCAGCAGCCCTTGTACTCTTCTATTTAAAGCATTATTCATTATAGTCACCTGGCCTAGGGACAATACAGTTCATTTATTAGCGTAGTTACGCTTTTTAATAGATCAATTTCAAACAGCATCGTCTCAGAGCAGGACGAAGCTCAGCCTGAATATTGATCGCCTATTGAGACTGCGCTTCTCTTCCCATTCTTTGTCAGTATTGTGGATCTATCGGTGTGTATGTATACGAGATTCGATGTGCGTATATGGAGTTTTGGCAACCATTTTCATGTTAAAATATCTCTAAATCCATACGCCATACTAATTGATTTCTAAATATTTGTTTTTTTAGTTGTATCTTTTGTTTAACAAGGGGCACATGTGCATGTTTTTGTAACTGGTTGCAAGCCTTTCTAATACATGTTACTGTTTAAGCTGTGAATTGAATGCCTTGTGTTTTTTCAAGGATGTGATGACTAAATATTTTGGGGACAAATATTGTGTGCCTAAAATTGACTTTATTCCCCTGTTGTTTACCTTTGTGGTGAAGTGACAAAGGGGTGTGATTTTACACCTTAAAGGGGTCATATGATGCTTTTTTAAAGATCATTATTTTGTGTATTTGGTGTAACAGAATATGTTGACATGCTTTAATGTTCAAAAAACACATTCTTTTTCAAATACTGTACATTATTGTAGGTCCTCTATGCCCCGCCTCTCTCAAACGCTTCGTTTTCTACAAAGTCCCTCCTTCCGACAAGCGCAGTCTGCTCTGATTGGCCAGCTGACCCAGTGCATTGTGATTGGCCGAACACCGCAAGCACTCATCGGAAATGTAACGCCCCTTACCATAATCGCGAGCTTCATCTTTCAAAATAAATGTAAAGACAGAGCCCGAAAGGGGAACAGAGTCGCGTGACAGACACAGTGATGAAGCTGGTATGTGTTTGCATTACACAAGCCACGGTTAAGACAGTTGACTCCACTGTGATGTCTGTCTGTCTGTCTCTCTCTCTCTCTCTCACACACGCACGCACGCACGCACGTACAGAAGCGCCAGATTGTCATAGCAAGGTCAGAATTACCTCTTCTCGATATCTCTTTGGATTTGAGACTTTAGTCTTTGCAACTTCAGGGATCTTATCTACGCACAATCAGCTTGTAACACTCCAAAGAGAAAGGAAAACTTGAAATCGCATCATATGACCCCTTTAATTTTGGGAGCAGTTATTACATATTTTACACTTTCTAGCCCAAGTAAAATGTTATTATTTTGTTTGATTCGTATATGAAGCTCTACATATGAACTGCATCCTTCTTTTTATTATATTGTATAGTGATATACAGTGGTCGTCAATTATTGATACATGTAATCAGTTTAAGCTTTCAGGCACACAATTTCGACCTACTGTATGATAAATTATAATGATTAATAATGATAGATTCAATAATATTTTAATGGGTTGTATTGCTGTAGGCTACCAGCCAATAGTTATTGCAAAGGCATGAGCAAGCAACAGCAATTAATTCTCTAGATCATCCATTATAAATCACTTTTTGTTTGAACCCCTGTTCATCAGTTCTCTTTTTTCATTGGCCTTGATTGCAAGTTCTGAATATTGATGATGTCTGTAATGGCCCCCTTTTCAGTGTTGTATTATCTTGATGATGCATGCTATTCCTTTTGTCGTTTAATATTGTGCCAGTTACTGTGATAACTTGCAGTGTGTTGAGTAGACTCATTTTCAGTTATTTATCTCGGTAATAAAAACAGAAGTCACCCTGCTTTGGCTAATATTTCCGAGATTAATAGCCATTCAGAATCGCAAATATTTTACTGCATGTCAAGTCTGCATAATGCTAGCCTATATCAGCCTATGTTTGCAGTTCTGTTTTTGTACACAGAACTAATGGGACTGGGAGCATGACATTTATGAGAGATACTGACCTTGCTTTGATTTGATTTACTGTATCTAACCATTTTGTGTTGAATGTACATACATAAACGTCCTTATATGGCATGCACAGCATATTTAATATGGCTGTGTATTGGCAAGAATCTGGCGATATGATACGTATCACGATACATGGGTTACAATACGATATGTTGCGACACGTGCTGGAGATTTACTACTAATCACAGGAGCAGCTTTACTGATGAGATGCGCATGAAAATCGCATTCGATTTTTTGCACAGCCCTAACTTTAATTTCTGTAGTAGTTCTTACCTAAATAAAAACTTACTTAACCTGAAAAACTTAGTTTCATAGCTCTCTTTATTCTATTGCATTTATTTGTGCTGTTGTTTGCAATTTTTTTTATTTGTTCTTATTTTATTACTGACTTTTTACTTGTGTTTTTTTAATGAAAATAAAACTGCGTTGAAGAAAAGTAGATTTTTGTTTGTATATGCTGTCAATTATAGTTCTTAGTTCTATAGTTCAATAGTTCTTATAGAAAGAAAATCGGAATCAGCAAAAATCTGTATCGGCAGATCACACTAACAAAAAATTGGAAATCAGAATCGGCCAAGAAAATTGCAATCGGTGCATCTCTAGGAAACACCAAGATATGTTTTTTTGTTGTTTTTAAAATAAATCCTCCATTTATGATGTATTTTAAAAAACGCAGAAGCAAGATATACTGTCATGTAGCTTTGCAACTGATCCTGCTGTGTTAATTAAACCACTTTTTGTGCAGTACGTGTCAAGGGGGAAAAATTAAAGTGCTAACAGGATCCTTTAGTTAAATGTATAATATGTATTTTATAAAAAAGACCATATATTTTTTTAGACCCTGCTTTAAATGTTCACATTTTAAGTTTACAATTGTAACATACAATGTCATAACATTTTGATCTGAACAAAAGAATTACATCTGCTTAATATCAATGAAAAATAAAGTGCTTGCAGGATTTCTAAAGAAAACAAAACATTTTTAAAACAATAAAATAAATACAGATGTTAAACATTCTCAGAACCTTTCCACTTGGATTTCACAGGTTTTTCAGTTTGTATTTATGTTCCGCGTGGAATCGCCGAGACCGCGACGCGAGCACCGCCCCAACTGCACAAAACGCCCCCACCACGAGAAAAGGCTGCAGCCGCGCAGCGACCCTACCGCCCGCCCTGCTCTTCATGATAGAATCCAGCATCTTTTAAACATTTTTTATTGAATTGTGGTGGTTTAAATTCTCTTAAGAAAATTATATTAGTCTGCTTACACTCAAATGATTCAGAAACAACAACAAAAAATGCTCACCATGCTGGGATAAGGAAAGAATCAAAATGTAAAGCAATTTTGATGTTATTTGAACGTCCCATCTTCACCAATTATATACATTTCGTGCTATTGTATCAGTGTCTCTTCTTTTTACATTTTTCAACCCTGAATCCATTTTCGAGTTTTTATCTAAAGCAAACTTTAAAAACCTTATATAGGTTTTTTAATTGCTCTTTTATACCACTTAAACTTGTTAATCACCATGAAAATGATGGAAGCATATAGGTAGCGAAATTCAATTTAAAATGCAATTTTAAATGATCATTATGCTACCATTTCTGCTTGGACATGTTACACATATCAAATCAATTTGTGTTATACATTTTCATTTTAATTTCGCAACTTATAAAGCATTAAAATTTGCATGCAATTTACATATTAAGACTACTGTTGGAAATGGCAAATGTAAATTATATAATTTAATTTTCATTTTACTTTTGCACCAAACTTTGCATGTATGGGTAATGGAAAATGTAAATTTAAATACAGAAATACAATGCCATTTTGAATATTGCGTTGCCATTTTGAATATTGCATTGTCATTTTGCATATTGCATTTTAAATTGAATTTCGCTACCTATATGCTTCCATAGAAAATAGCCAAGGAAGCTGGTATGGCATTAAAACACCAACCAACAATTAGTCTAGCAGGTGGGAACTTGATAAGTGTGTGAGAATGTCACTTTTAGAGAATCAAACTGGAAACCTGCACCAGGAAGGAGGAACCTTCTGTCATGTGAACAGTTTTAACAGCAGAGATCTTGATCAATACAGGAGGCTTCCAGTGAAGGACAGTCATGCTGTTTTGCACAGACAAGCTGGAAAGAACACGTCTGGTATAATTTTAACTCTTGAAAACAGCTTCATTGTGATGTTACCAGCTGAGAAAATCTTTTCTTTAGAGATTTTG